AGGAAAAAGTAGGACCTCTGAAAACTGGGAATGGACAGCTGACGGATAATGAACTGGAAATGTGTTCCTTATTTAATGACTATTTTTTGTCAGTTTTTACACAAGAAGATGTAAATGAGATTCCAGTAATTAACAATTATTTAGTTCCTGATGAATTTAAGTTAACTAATATTACTGTCACGAGGGACATGGTTATTAAACAGATAGACAAACTGAAACAAAATAAGTCCCCGGGACCCGATGAGTTGTTTTCCAGGTTACTTAAGGAATGCAAGATGGAGCTTAGTCAGCCATTAACGAGTGTAATCAATGCGTCCATCCTTACCGGTGTTGTGCCAGAGTTGTGGAAGATGGCTAATGTGGTTCCTATATTCAAATCAGGGGAGAAGTCCACTCCTTCAAATTACCGTCCAATAAGCCTGACATCCATAGTGGGCAAGTTATTAGAATCAATTATAGCTGACATTATCAGAAGTCACCTTGAAGAGCATAACTTGATAAATGAATCTCAGCATGGATTCAAGAGAGGTCGTTCCTGCCTGACAAACTTACTGACGTTCTTCAATAGAACATTTGAGGCAGTTGACAGTGATAAGGAATATGATATTGTTTATTGTTTATTAGGAAATGAGTGAGCTACTCAAGTCCCAATATGACTCAGTTTTTAGCAAGCCGCTAACCAGACTGAGAGTCGAAGATCAAAATGAATTTTTTATGAGAGAGCCACAAGCCACAAGCCTATCCGATGTTATCCTGACGCCAAATGACTTCGAACAGGCGATAAATGACATGCCCATGCACTCTGCCCCAGGGCCAGACTCATGGAACTCTGTGTTCATCAAGAACTGCAAGAAGCCCCTATCACGAGCCTTTTCCATCCTATGGAGAGGGAGCATGGACATGGGGGTCGTCCCACAGTTACTAAAAACAACAGACATAGCCCCACTCCACAAAGGGGGCAGTAAAGCAACAACAAAGAACTACAGACCAATAGCACTAACATCCCATATCATAAAAATCTTTGAAAGGGTCCTAAGAAGCATGATCACCACCCATCTAGAAACCCATCAGTTACACAACCCAGGGCAACATGGGTTTAGAACAGGTCGCTCCTGTCTGTCTCAACTATTGGATCACTACGACAAGGTCCTAAATGCACTAGAAGACAAAAAGAATGCAGATGTAATATATACTGCTTTGCAAAAGCCTTCGACAAGTGTGACCATGGCGTAATAGCGCACAAAATGCGTGCTAAAGGAATAACAGGAAAAGTCGGTCGTGGACTTAATTTCCCTCACCAACAAAACACAGAGAGAGTCTCAACAGGTAAAGCCGGGCGTCGGTGAAAAGCTTGTTCACAAAGCACAGTACTCGCTCCCATCTTTTTCCCTCATCCTCATATCCCATAGAAAAGGATGCAGCCACAGACCTGTCTTCCTTTGCAGATGAACCCAATCTCATGACAGTGTCTTCCTTGCGCACTGCAAAGCTCCAGGGGGACCAACCAAATCTTTCAAGGGGCTGCAGAAACAATATGAAGTTCAACGATGGAAATTTAATTACTCGATATGGTAAACATGGGGAAATTAAATTTTCACAGAGTACAAAAAAAATTCTGGCCACAAAATGAGCGAAACCCCAATCAAAGACCTGGATGATCTGTCGGAGGATCTCACCTTAAAGGGACCATAACATTGTTTCAATCGCATCTGTAAAAAAATGACAGGATGGATAATGAAAACCCCTTCAAAAACTGGGAGGCCAAGCCCTGATGAACTCTTGGGTCATTGTTCTATCTAGGTGGAATATTGCTCCCCACCTAACAGCACCTTCAAGGCAGGTGAAATTGCCCCCCTAAAAAAAGTAAGAGAACTTTCACGGCTAACGGAATAAAAAAAACCCCCAATTATTGGGAGCGCTTGGGTTCCTAAACCGTATTCCCTGGAACGCAGGAGGGGGAAAATAAAGATTATATTTAAACCCGGAAAATCCTAGAGGGACTGTACCAACTTGCACACGAAAATCATCACTACGAAAGCAAAAGGGCTTTGGCGCGATGCCCTCCCCCAATGAAAAGCAGGGGGGTCCTAGCCGTAAGGACCCCTCAATAAATGTAGGGGCCCCGGACTGTTCAACGCCCCCCAGCACACTAAGGGGGATTTCCCAGACCCCTGGCGTCTTCAGTGGCAGGACAACACCTAAAGTCAGTTTCCGGGTCAGCCGGGGCCCGTGGCTCGACGTTGGGTTTGCGTGCAGCCCGCAGCAAACACCTGGTTTATCAGGCTTGATCCACCAGGAGGCCTGGCACAGACCCGGGCCCCCGGGGGGTTGACCCCGGAATCTTCCGGTAAATCCAGGTACACCCGGGAAACTGGTAAATATATAAAATTTGTGGACTGTATATTTTAAAAAAATAAATGGTTTTATATAAAATACACAGTTCAAACAGAAGGAAAATATATCTTAATATCCTCCCAATTTGACTGGATATTAAGTTGTATCTATCAGAAAAACCCCCTAAAAAATTTATGAAAAACACTGGCCAGAATTTACACAAATTAGAGAGCTTTTTCTGGGTTCCTGGACGTTTGCCGTCGCTGAAACTAAATTATCGGGAAATTCTATCCCCCAATTTCGCCTCCTATTTGAGGGTGTCACCCAAAATTTAACCCAAAGGCACGAAAAATTTTCCCCTTCCCAACGTTTCAATCAAAATAAAACCAAGTGGCGAGGTCTTTTTTTTTTTTCGATAACATATTTTTCTTTTAAAAAAAAATATAGGGCATCTATTTACTAAAAATTACCTATTTCAGAAAATATATACAGTATTTTCCAAGGGGCGGGTTTTCGTTAATACTGAGAAACAAAATGTTTTTATGGATTGCAAAATTTAAAGAGCTTGGGGCCCATGATAAAACTAGTTGCAGTTTTTGGTTTTTTGGTTAATAGTGTAGAAAAGATGATTTTTGCAAGCCCAAATTTATAAGCTGTCGAGGATCCTCGACCTTTTCCCCGGTAGCGAGTCCAGTCTTCGGGCCTTTTATGGCTTGTTTTGGTGACTGGCATTTTGTGCATTCATACACGGGGTCGTCCCCAGCAAAAAAAAAAAAAAGAGACATAGCCCCACCCCATAAAGGGCAGTAAAGCAATATAAAAAGAACTAAGATCGTAGCGCAACGTCCCATTATAAAAATTTTCGGAAGGGTTCAAAGAAAAGTCCCCACCCATCAGTTACCCATCAGTTACACAACCCAGGGTAGCATGAGTTTAGAGCAGGTCACTCCTGTCTGTCCCAGCTACTGGACCACTATGACAAGGTCCTGAATACTCTAGAAGACAAACGAAATTGAGATGTAATATACACAGACTTTGCAAAAGTCTTTGACAAGTGTGACCACAGTGTAATAGCACACAAAATGCGTGATAAAGGAATAACAGGAAAAATTGGTAGATGGATCTATAATTTCCTGACAAATAGAACACAAAGAGTAGTAGTAAACAGAGTAAAGTCTGAGGCAGCTACGGAGAAAAGCTCTGTTCCACAAGGCACAGTACTCGCTCCCATCTTGTTCCTCATCTTCATATCTGACATAGACAGGGATATTAGCCATAGTGCAGTGTCTTCTTTTGCTGATTACACCCGAATTTGCATGCCAGTGTCCTCCAGTGAAGTCACCGCAAGACTCCAGGCGGACATCAACCAAATCTTTCAATGGGCTGCAAAAAACAATACAAATTCAATGATGAGAAATTTCAATTACTCCAATATGGAAAATGTGAGGAAATTAAAACTACAACGGAGTATAAAACAAATTCCAACCACACAATAGAGCGAAAAACTAATGTACAAGACCTGGAAGTGATCATGTCGGAAGATCTCACCTTCAAAAACCATAACACTGTATCAGTCACATCTGCTAGAAAAATGACAGGATGGATACTAAGAGCCTTCAAAACTAGGGATGTCAAGCCCATGATAACACTCCTCAGGTCACTTGTTCTATCTAGGCTGGAATATTGCTGCACACTAACAGCACCTTTCAAGGCAGGTGAAATTGCTGACCTAGAAAATGTAGAGAGAACCTTCACGGCGCACATAACGGAGATAAAACACCTCAATTGCTGGGAGCGCTTGAAGTTCCTGAACCTGTACTCCCTGGAACGCAGGCGGGAGAGATACATGATTATATACACCTGGAAAATCCTAGAGAGATCAGTACCAAACTTGTATATGAAAACCACTCCCTACGAAAGCAAAATTTCAAATTCAAATTCAAATTCAAAGTTTATTCTCTATAAGGATTACAATGCTGAGTTTACAGAAATTTGGTTATTGTTTGGTTTACATGTAGTAAAATTGTGATTACAGAGTGTACCACTAGAACGCTTAGCATGGCTAGGCATTTCGGGCATACTTAGTTTTATTCTTAATTGTAAAATATTACAAATTATGAGGTAAGCTGGTATTATGGCAGACGATGCAACATCCACCCAATGAAAAGTAGGGGTGTCACTAGCACGATAAAAGACAACACAATAAGTGTCAGGGGCCCAAGACTGTTCAACTGCCTCCCAGCACACATAAAGGGGATTGCCAAGAGACCCCTGGCAGTCTTCAAGCTGGCACTGGACAAGCACCTAAAGTCGGTACCTGACCAGCCGGGCTGTGGCTCATACGTCGGTTTGCGTGCCGCCAACAGTAACAGCCTGGCTGATCAGGCCCTGACCCACCATGAGGCCTGGTCACAGACCGGGCCGCGGGGGCGTTGACCCCCGGAACCCTCTCTAGGTATAAGGGTATAAGAGAAAATTTTAGAAAGGATTTAATTTGAAATGAGCTCTTGCTAACTGACCAGTTTTACCTATTCGGCACGACATATATATATATATATATATATATATATATATATATATATATATATATATATATATTATATATATATATATATATATATATATTATGTACACAAATTTTTATGTACATATATACAAAATGAGCTACAAAAGTTTCAAATGAGAGTTTAAGTGTGTTAAGAAGTTGACTTGACAGCAGCAGCAGCAAGCAGGGATAATGGCCGGCATCACTAGAATTTCTAGTTTTTGGCCAAGTTTTAGTAAGTTTCATGTTATAATTGATTTTTTTGCTGTATTTGTTCGTTACAGTATGTACTGTCGTATTTTCATTAACTCTGGTATTTTGAATACCATAGAAAATTTAATGAACCTGTGAAAGGCAAAGAAAATCTTCATTATTATTATTATTATAATCAAGGGGGAAGCGCTAAACCCGGAGGATTATACAGCGCCTGGGGGGGGGATGTGGAAGGCATTCAGGCTTAATTCGGGGAACTGGAGCACAGATCCAATTCCCTAAATGAAGAGCCCCTCACCAACATCAAGGAACCTTCCTTGAGGGGAAAGAAAATCTTCAGCCAATATGCTTTGAAAAGTCGCTATTATGTACCCCCAACTACGCTGTTAACTCACAGCAACTTGTTAAATTAATCGTCAGTCAGTTGTCAGAACCAAGTTTATTTATACACAGGTACACATAAGTACAGTTATCATACATAGTGTAAATTACTTAGGATAACCCAAAAGTACCTGAGCATTGTTTATCCCACCATCATTATCACTATTCAACTATGATCATAATGGAAGTAAGTTACTGTTTCTTTATTTAGGTTGTCCTAGGTAATTTAAACACGTTATTATGTATGATAATTTATGTAACTATTTATGTATGCCTATACCTAATTCTCTTTCATTATCTCTACTTGATCCTCCAGTCAGTCAAACTCTGCATAAGTCTGTGTTTCATTATACTGGATTATTTTAGGTAATTGATATACGTGATATTAGTAAGTTTAGTTAGGTTCAGGTATACACAACTACAGCTGCACAAATTTATGCAATTCCAGTTATCGTGCATAAGAACATGTAAATTACCTAGGATAACTAAAAAAAAAAAAAAAAAGTCTAGCTTACTTCCATTGAGATTCTTGTAATATATTATTATTTAAAGCATAGCTATAAGATACAGCAGAAAACAATGATGATTACAGTCTTAAAAGTTAAAACACCCAGGTAACATTACTCATGAAATTGTAATGACATTATTGCAAACAGATCATACCACGGGCGGGGTTAGAACCCTCTATCAGAGAGTCGTGAAACTCCAGACTGACGCTTAGGTGCAGAGACAAAGGCAATGTTCGCGGCTTTCACTGAGACCCACATAAAGGATCACTTGGACAATGAAATATGGATCCCAGGTTACAACCTATACAGATGTGACAGAGTGAACAGGCAAAAGGGGGGGGGGGGGTTGGCCTGTACATTGCAGAGTCACTTGTTTGCACAGAACTGCTTAATGCCTCAAATGATGTAGTGGAAGTTTTAGCAGTAAAGGTCGAGAACCAAAACCTAGTCATTGTGGTAGTCTACAAGCCTCCGGATGCAACATCCCAGCAATTCCAGGAACAGCTGTTAAAAATTGACCACTGTCTGGAAAATCTTCCAGCTCCTGCACCCAATATCTTGCTCCTGGGGGATTTCAACTTAAGGCACCTAAAATAGAGGAATATAGCAAATAATATTGTTGCAGTAATAACACCAGGAGGCAGCTCTGATGAAAACTCACACACACAAGCTTTTAAATCTCTGCACAAAATTCAATTTAAACCAGCAAATAATAGAGCTTACTAGGCTGGAGAATACACTAGACCTCATCTTCACTAACAATGATGATCTGATAAGAAATGTCACCATATCAAAAACAATATACTCAGATCACAACATAATTAAGGTTCAGACATGTATGCGTGGAGCCCCAGACCGACATAATGAGATTAGTCACGAGGGAGCATTCACCAAATTCAACTTCAATAACAAAAACATAAAGTGGGACCAAGTAAACCAAGTCCTAACTGATATAAGCTGGGAAGATATACTAAGCAACACAGACCCCAACTTATGCCTAGAACAGATTAACTTGGTGGCACTCGATGTATGCACAAGGCTTATTCCTCTAAGAAAAAGGAGGAGTAGATGCAAAATAGAAAGAGACAGGCGCTCCCTTTACAGGTGACGGAAAAGAATAACAGAGCGGCTAAAAGAGGTCAATATATCTGAAATGCGTAGGGAGACACTGGTCAGAGAAATAGCAAGCATCGAATTTAAGCTAAAGGAATCTTATAGGAGTCAGGAATCGCGGGAAGAACTGAAAGCCATAAATGAAATCGAAAGAAACCCAAAGTATTTCTTCTCCTATGCCAAATCAAAGTCGAGAACAACGTCCAGTATTGGGGCCCCTACTTAAACAAGATGGGTCCTACCACGATGACAGCAAGGAAATGAGTGAGCTACTCAAGTCCCAATATGGCTCAGTTTTTAGCAAGCCGCTAACCAGACTGAGAGTCGAAGATCAAAATTAATTTTTTATGAGAGAGCCACAAAATTTGATTAACACAAGCCTATCCGATGTTATCCTGACGCCATATGACTTCGAACAGGCGATAAATGACATGCCCATGCACTCTGCCCCAGGGCCAGGCTCATGTAACTCCGTGTTCATCAAGAACTGCAAGAAGCCCCTATCACGAGCCTTTTCCATCCTATGGAGAAGGAGCATGGACACGGGGGTCGTCCCACAGTTACTAAAAACAACAGACATAGCCCCACTCCACAAAGGGGGCAGTAAAGCAACAGCAAAGAATTACAGACCAATAGCACTTAACATCCCATATCATAAAAATCTTTGAAAGGGTCCTAAGAAGCAAGATCACCACCCATCTAGAAACCCATCAGTTACACAACCCAGGGCAACATGGGTTTAGAACAGGTCGCTCCTGTCTGTCTCAACTACTGGATCACTACGACAAGGTCCTAAATGCACTAGAAGACAAAATGCAGATGTAATATATACAGACTTTGCAAAAGCCTTCGACAAGTGTGACCATGGCGTAATAGCGCACAAAATGCGTGCTAAAAGAATAACAGGAAAAGTCGGTCGATGGATCTATAATTTCCTCACTAACAGAACACAGAGAGTAGTCGTCAACAGAGTAAAGTCCGAGGCAGCTACGGTGAAAAGCTCTGTTCCACAAGGCACAGTACTCGCTCCCATCTTGTTCCTCATCCTCATATCCGACATAGACAAGGACGTCAGCCACAGCACCGTATCTTCCTTTGCAGATGACACCCGAATCTGCATGACAGTGTCTTCCATTGTAGACACTGCAAGGCTCCAGGCGGACATCAACCAAATCTTTCAGTGGGCTGCAGAAAACAATATGAAGTTCAACGATGAGAAAATTTCAATTACTCAGATATGGTAAAACACGAGGAAATTAAATCTTCATCAGAGTACAAAACAAATTCTGTCCACAAAATAGAGCGAAACACCAACGTCAAAGACTTGGGAGTGATCATGTCGGAGGATCTCACCTTCAAGGACCATACATTGTATCAATCGCATCTGCTAGAAAAATGACAGGATGGATAATGAGAACCTTCAAAACTAGGGAGGCCAAGCCCATGATGACACTCTTCAGGTCACTTGTTCTATCTAGGCTGGAATATTGCTGCACACTAACAGCACCTTTCAAGGCAGGTGAAATTACTGACCTAGAAAATGTACAGAGAACCTTCACGGCGCGCATAACGGAGATAAAACACCTCAATTACTGGGAGCACTTGAGGTTCCTAAACCTGTATTCCCTGGAACGCAGGCGGGAGAGATACATGATTATATACACCTGGAAAATCCTAGAGGGATTAGTACCGAACTTGCACACATCCCCCCAATGAAAAGCAGGGGTGTCACTAGCACGTTAAGAGACCATAGAATAAGTGTCAGGGGCCCTAGACTGTTCAACTGCCTCCCAGCATACATAAGGGGGATTACCAACAGACCCCTGGCAGTCTTCAAGCTGGCACTGGACAAGCACCTAAAGTCGGTTCCTGACCAGCCGGGCTGTGGCTCGTACGTTGGTTTGCGTGCAGCCAGCAGCAACAGCCTGGTTGATCAGGCTCTGATCCACCAGGAGGCCTGGTCACAGACCGGGCCGCGGGGGCGTTGACCCCCGGAACTCTCTCCAGGTAAACTCCAGGTAAACTGGCCCGTGGTGTGGTTTGGTCAGCTAGGTAAGTCGCCTGTATGAAAACCAAGTTAGAGTAAAAAGGTTCAGTAGAAATGAAATGAACTGAGTTATTTACATTAATACAAATAGAGAAAATCAGCTTACAATAATGAATTTTAACCCTTTGAGGGTCCGGAGGCCAAATCTCAGAGTGACAGCCATGGTCCAAGAATTTTCAGAAATTTTTTTTTAATTTTTTCCTATGAAATGGTAGAGAATCTTTTTTTGAAGGTAAAACAAAAGGTACGAAATTTGATGGAAAATTGACGAAATTACACTCGCGAATTTTATTGCATCAGCAATATTTACACATCGGTGATTTTCAGCAATATTTACGCATCGATGATTTTGCCTACTATGACTCCCATTTTAGGCCAATTACATTATTTCAGTCAACCAAATTCTTAGCTATTTCACTAGTATTACTTCTATTTTATTGATTGAGCTTAAGAAATTGCCCAGTCAACTGTTTCAGCTACCCAATAAAGTGATTGGAATTTGGTAATTTGACCAATTTAACACAAAGCTCCAAATATTCCAATTTTCAGCATAAGGTCCTGAATAAACAGTGTAGGCATTCCTGGCACTAAACTTACATTTCCTCTGTTTATTAGTTATATTTTCAGGCTTTACAAATTAATTCTGTTTTGATTCTTTATTCACACCAAAAATATTGAAGATTTACTGTTATATAATATTGTAATAATTGTATAAATAATATCAGCACATTTATGAGCATATTAGACCCACCAGCTGAAGTGTTTTAAACTCGTGACGTTTTTGTTTGCTTCTTCTTCTGTTGGGTTTCAGGGCCACTGACAGCATACGCCGTATTGAGCCCGGCCGTCCAGTGCTAGGAAAGGGGACTTCGACCAGAGTGGAAGAATGTTTTGACTAATACCTATGTATCATATGTCACTGATACGCCCTGAAGCCAGCAGGAAGGAGCAGGTACAGGCCAATATCTCCTGACGGTGCAGAGGGCGAAACCCCTCCCCGTTGAGAAGGACAGGTAGAGTGAAAGTGTGCACCCCAAGCGTGCGCAAGGCCACACAGAGAGTAGTCCGTGCAGAGTGATAACGTGGGCACCACAGCAGGAAATGTTCCACCATCTCAGGCTGTGAGGGACACCACGGGCAGTACGGAGAGTCCGTCATCTGAAGGCAGTAAAGATGAGCCGCCAGTCACGAGTGCCCGACTCAAAGGTGAGTCAGTGCAATGTCCACTGAGCGGTTGGGATGGCGAGCCCAAGGGCAGGGGCCATTAAAAGTTCGGACAGAGCCCAACACCGAAGAAGAGAGCGAGTGTGCCAGGCCCTCTTGCCACTGATGGCGGATTCCCTTCCAAACAGCTCTTGTAAAATCACTGTGGCCCAAGGCAAGAGGGGTAATAGTAGGAAGTGTGTCTGCGAGGGAGGCCACCCGATCTGCCACTTCATTGCCCCGGATTCCAGCATGGGCGGGTACCCACTGAAGGGAGATGCTCCAACCTGGGCTCCACAAGAAGCACAGGAGGAGAGGTTGTCTCCGACGAACGAGGACGCACAGTGACCGTGGACGGGCAGAGCACAAAAGTGCCAGGGAAGATTGGGAATCAGAGAAGAGAACCAATGGTTATCATTTGTTTGCTCATGAACATCAGCAAAAATTGAACATTTCTGCTAATTTGAGCTCAGTTTCAAGCCATTTTCAATGAAATCAATCAAAATAATCTCTATTTCTGTAATATATCTTTCATTCTATCAACAAGACCATGAAATAATGAATACAACTGTAAAAAATGTATCAAGAAACATCGCAAAGTCGCTGTTTTAATCCAAAAATATGATCGCAGTTTTTTTTTCTCATTATGCACTGTGATGCAATATTTGTTATATGTGGTGCACACTTACCATGTACATGTACAGTGGAACCTCTACTTACGAGTTTAATCCGTTCTGTGACCTTGCTCGCATCTGGATTTGCTCATTTGCAGAGTTGAGTTCCCTCATTTAAATTAATTGAAATGGAATTAATCCATTCCAGTGGAATTCCAGGCATGACAAAACACTTCAGTAACTTCCCTAATATCAACTCTATGGCTTATTTATCCATCACATTTCATCCAATATGACATAATAAACAATATAAATAACATAGAATAAAATGTCATTATGTGACAGGTGGAGGCGGCCACAACCGCTCCTTCATTGTTGTGGTAATCACTGCCATCTAGTGATGGCCTTTTGAAAACGTCTGTTATTATAATTATTATATAGTTCATTATTATTATATATTATTATTATTATCATTATCATTATCATTATTATTATTATTGTTATTGCAGTATAAATAATTTGTAATTTTTATTCACACAGAAAATAGAAGATTTACTGTTATGTAGACTACTGCATTATTGTAATAATTGTATAAATAATGTCAACCCATTCATGACTGCATATTGGAATTGGAATGTTTACTCTTGAACATATCCAAAGAATCGAACATTTCTGCTACTTTAAGCTCAATTTCAAGGTACTTTTCGTCGTGAAACCAATCAGAATCGTATCTATTTCTGTAATATATCTTTTGTTCTATCAAATGAGACCAAAAAAGCGAGAATACAACCATAAAAACCATGCGAAAACACCACTAAGAGCGGCTAATGGCTGAGAAGTGAACTCCATTATTTATGGCTCGATTTCTTGCATTTTTGGTGTACGTTAACCGTTTGACTGTCGCGGCCGTATATATACGTCTTACGAGGTACCGTGTTTGACGTATATATACTCATAAATTCTAGCGGTTTCAAATCAAGCAGGAGAAAGCTGTTAGGCCCACATGTGAGAGAATGGGTCTGTGTGATCAGTGTGCACCATATAAAAAAAATCCTGGAGCACGCAGTGCATAATAAGAAAAAAAAAATCCGACCGATTTTTTTAATTAAAATGCCGACTTTGTGGTCTATTTTCGTATAGTATTTATGATTGTATTCTCATTTCCTTGGTCTCATTTGATAGAATGGAAAACATATTATAGAAATAGAGGTGATTTTGATTGATTTTACTATAAAAAGAACCTAGAAATGGAGCTCAAAGTAGGGGAAATGTTTGATTTTTGCCAATGTTCAAAAGTAAACAAATGATGCCATTGTCCAATAAATGTCCAACTAGCCATTCTAATATGCAGTCATGAATGGGTTGATGTTATTTATACAATTATTACAGTATTGCAGTAGTCTGCATAATAGTAAGTCTTCTATTTTTTGTTTGAATAAAAATTCAAAATAGAAAGCAAGAGTAATATCAGAGGGGCCTGGAGACATGACTGATGAACAAAGAAAATGCTATTTTAGAGCCAGGAATGTCTGCATTGTTCATTCTGGACTTTATTTTAAAATTGTCATATTTTTTAGTTTTCGTGAAATTGGCCAAATTGCAAATTTCTGACCACATTATTAGGTAGTTGAAATCGGTAAATGGGCAGTTTCTTGTACTCAATCAATAGAAAAAATGGAGTTCTAAAGAAATAGCTATGAGTTTGGGCGACTGGAACAATGGAATTAGCCGAAAATAGGGCTCAAAGTGGGCGAAATCGCCGATTTGTAAACAGCGCTGAGGTCGCTAACTTCGCGAGAGCATAATTCCGTCAGTTTTCCATCAAATTTCGTTTTTTTGGTGTCATTACAATCGGGATAAGATTCTCTATCATTTCATAAGAAAAAATAAAATTTTTTTTTTTTAAATTTTGCGACACCAGGAGACACCTCAGGATTGGGGGTTGCGACAGTCAAAGGGTTAAGAAGCATCTTTCCATCATACATTGCCCAAGCTTCAATAAGATAGTCCAACAAACAAATGAGATCCAGTTCCCTAGATCAAGAGCAGAAGCCCCTCACTATTGTCAAGGAACCTCCCTGAGGCCCGATCGCTTATGGAAATTTTGCTCGTGTATGGAAGCAAAAAATCGACCGATCCACAGCTCGTATTTGGAAAAACTCGCATGTGGATGTGGTCACAAGTGGAGGTTCCCCTGTACTTCATATTGTAAATTGTTTTAACTTGTTTTAAATCGTAATATTGTACTTTTATAAACTATATCAAAACTGTAAATATTCTATACTGAGCTGCACTAATAGGCTTATTACAGCCATACAGCATTATCTAATAGAATGCTCACTTCTTTTGTACTTATTGTAACTCGTTTAATGACCATATGAACTGTTATTCCCTCATTCATCTTAAGTTAATTTTAAGTTTGCCTGAAATGCTCTGCATACAAAGGGGCTTTTGGCATGCACACCCAACTATTATATTCCTTTGTATAACAATGTATTGGGTCAAAATAAACATTATTATTATTATAGTTTAAATTGCCTAGGATAATCCCCAAAAATAAGACAAAGTGGCTTAATTTCCATTGGGGTTCTTGCTTAACTATCAGAACTTTGGAATGCAGTCCCTGGACCCATTATGTATCTCTAACGCAGATACCAAATTATTATTAACTTTCCGCAAAGCCATCTCGGTTGAATGATATGGTCACTATGAAAACTAAACAGTAGTTTAGACATACTTGACTTCTTTTAAATTGCTTAGTGTTTTTTATTTACTTATCACCACATTCCATGTATTTGATGCATATACTGATAAATTTTCATGCAGTTTCAAAAAATTTGAGAGAAAATGCTAAGGAAGCATTTAAATAAATCTGAGTTCTGTCTTGCATGGTTAAAGACAAGTGCTTATATGATAATCATGCTTTTGTTAATTATTATTTGTCTTTAAAATTTAGTGAGGTTGTCTCTTAAAAACTATGTGATTTAAATTTCTAACCATTTCAGGTCCTAGAGTTGGGTCAGTTACTGTCAGATGGTATAGTTCTAATAAGGTAATAGTTCATTCCACTATACAAAAAAAATCGTAACTGAAATGAGTGAATTAATATTGAATGGAAAAAATATTTTGTAATTTTATTGTAATTATTGATGTCATCCTTTCAGAAATAGGCAAGTCGAAACTTTTCATTCAATTTTGCAGGTATATGGTCCACTTGCTGATGAAGACCGTATATTCACTAATTTGTATGGCCGACACGAGTGGAGACTGAAGGGTGCTCTTAGTCGTGGGGACTGGTATAAGACTAAGGAGATCATCTTAAAGGGACCAGATTGGATTCTAAACGAAATAAAGACTTCAGGACTTCGTGGCCGAGGTGGTGCTGGATTTCCTTCTGGCATGAAATGGAGCTTTATGAATAAGCCGTGAGTATGCTCAAATCAATGTCTCTTCGAGCCTTGTTATTATTTATAGTCTCTTGTTAAGAGTTTTCAAGAGGCTTAATTGATTATTTCAGTAATCTTTGCACCATACTAGAGCTATGCATGTTTGCAGTATGTGCCCTATTGGTACGAGTGGAAGTGTTTCCTGGTGCTTATTTTGAGAGCTGCTGTAGATTATTCTTATTTTGTTATGAGTTTTCTAATTGGCATCTCTGTAACAGTTAAAAGAATGACTTATTAAAAACCCTTGCTTCATTAATTAATTTTCTTTATTTTCTGGCAGTTTTTTTTTTTTTTTGGGGGGGGGGGGAGTGAAATAGATTGTCTTAAAAAATTTTGCGTGATATATGAAGAATTTGCATTTTTACTTCTGGCAGTCATTAATGTGCAGTATTAAATTTCATTTTAGTATTTTGTAATAAACTTGAATTGCAGATTTATTTAATTTAACAGTTCTGATGGAAGGCCAAAGTATTTGGTTGTGAATGCTGATGAGGGAGAACCAGGTACATGCAAAGATCGTGAAATTATGCGTCATGATCCCCACAAACTAGTAGAGGGTTGCCTCATTGCTGGTCGTGCCATGGGAGCTCTGGCAGCTTATATTTATATTCGTGGAGAATTTTACAATGAAGCTTCTAATATGCAAGTAGCTATAAATGAGGTATGTAATGAATAACGTGGAAGTCACATGGTAATATGAATTAAAAATAGCAGTTAAGGAAATTTTAATATAATGGTTTAATGTGAAATAGGAATAAATTATTACATGATAATGATTGAATACCATTATTGGAGGCACCCAGGTGCTGGGGTGCCTACATGTAAACTTAGGCCTAGAGGAGGTAGGGATTTCTTCTCAAAGGGTACTTGCCTGACTAATAACCTATTACCTCAAATTCAAATTCAAAGTTTATTCTCTATAAGGATTACAATGCTGAGTTTACAGAATTTGGTTATTGTGTGGTTTACATGTAGTAAAATAATAATTACAGAGTGTACCACTAGAACACCTAGCATGGCTAGGCATTTCGGGCAGACTTAAATTAAATCTTAAGTTTAAAATATTACAAAATTATGAGGTAAGTTGGTATTATGGCTAAGTGACTAAATACTAGTTTGTGAGTTTACAATGTGAATGCTTTTGTTTTGGCACTATACATAGTTTCAGTATTGGAGTATCACAGGCCAACTTATGACTAGTTAAGATTCATATTTGAGATTGAGATTGATATTTCTGTTTATGGTCAAAGGGGTGAGTGAGTGTAAGTGTTAACCACCAGGTGGTATTCGTGTAATTAGTTGACAGGGTGTATCAGGGAGATAGATGTTTTCTGATGGTAGTTTTGAAGGTGATGAATGTGTCTGCAGTTTTAGAATTTTCAGGTAGGGTGTTCCAGATTTTAGGGCCTTTGACATACATTGAATTTTTGTAAAGGTTGTCGGACACGGGGAATGTCATAGAGATGTTTGTGTCTGGTATTGTGCCTGTGGGTTCTGTCGCAACTATCAAGAAAGCGTTTTAGGTCAAGGTTAATATTGGAAAATTTAAGGTCCTGTAGATGTAGATTGCACAGTAGTAAGTGTGGATGTACTGAACAGGGAGTAAGTTTAGATCTATGAAGAGTGGGGGGGGGGGTATTGCCAGGGATGGGATTGCTGCAGTTGAACCCCAAGCACATATAGCATAGGTGAGGTATGGATATATAAGTGAATGGTATAGTGTGAGAAGGGCAGTTTGCGGCACGTAGTATCGTATCTTGGAGAGGATCCCAACCGTTTTGGATACTTTTTTGGTTATGTGTTGGATATGGGTGCTGAAGTTCAGGTTGTTGTCGAGGTATAGGCCTAGGAATTTGCCCTCATTATGCCTGGCAATTAGAGTGTTGTCAATCTTAATGTTAATTTGCGCATCTCCTGCTCTGCTACCAAACATAATGTAGTAGGTTTTGTCAGTGTTAAGCGTAAGTTTATTGGCTCTCATCCAAGTCGATATTTTGATCAGCTCCTCAGTAACAATGGTGTTGAGGGTGGCAAGATTAGGGTGAGAGATGACATAAGTCGTGTCGTCAGCAAAGAGAATGGGGTTCAGGTGTTGAGATACTTTTGGAAGATCATTGATGTATATGAGGAAGAGCAGGGGACCAAGGACACTTCCCTGCGGAACTCCAGTATCAAGTGGCTATGTTGTTGATGCTGTGTCTTTAATGGTGACATACTGATACCTATTAGTAAGGTAAAATTTGAAATATGCAAGCGCATGGCCTCTTATACCATAATGGTCAAGTTTGTGGAGTAGGATGCCGTGGTCTACTGTGTCAAAAGCTTTTCTTAGATCAATAAAAATTCCTAGTGGATATTCCTTATTTTCCAATGCTGTGTGAAGCAGATCTAGCATTTTTATGATTGCATCGTTAGTGCTTTTATTTTTCCTGAATCCAAATTGGCAGGGGTTGAGTATGTTTTGTGCCGTCTGCATAAATAGGGATATTTCCCATTTTGTTGAAATTTACTAACACTTATGGCAGGTGGCATAAAATAAATTATAAGTATAGACCTGGATGACTGTGGAATATTAAAAAAATGACTAGTTTTATTTACATTATGATTAGGATTTCTGTGATAATACAGAGAATTGATCAAAGCCATACCAAATTGATAATGATTGCATTAATTTCATAGTGTTAGCAATGGTATATGTTTAAAGCACTGAATAACTTATGGTTCTAGTGTTTTGCAAATGAAACAAAATAAAACAAAGGAAACCCTTATTGGAGGGAAAGACTAAATGATTTGTATCTTGTGAAATGTGATTAGAAAGAGGAATGAAGTTTTTCATTATGTTCTCTAATATTATTTTATAGACAACAGGATTACTGGGTGCTTTTTGAACACAGAAAATAAAAAATCTCTGTCTTCTGTTCTTCCAGTATTTCAAAAACAATGTTGTAGTGGTGGAACTGGTATGGCAATACTGACAAGTTGTAGGTAAAAAGACACGCATTCACTGATCAGACTAATCACTTAGGAAACACTGCCATGAGTGGTTTCTTCGGTCCTCCTTTGCCACTTGTGGTGAGAAATTTCCTTAACCCTTTCACTGTTATTGATGCCAATGTTGTTTATGTAGATTAAGTGTAAATCCTAGCGACGGCTTCAGATTTGGTGCTACAGGCTTGGGAGGCCCAGGCATGAAAGAATGGGTCTGTGTGGTCAGTGTGCACAGTATACAATAAATTGGGGCCGCTGCATTGCATTACGTATTTAGAATGCCATCATAGCTCACTATTTTGCTCACACAGTTCTCTCATTCCCAGACCCCCCTTTCCCCCTTTTTTTTTTTTTTTAACACTTGTACAGGCTAAGAGCTGTTATCATACTTCAGCTCACTTTCCCTGGTGGTAGAAGCTCTCGCTTCACACACTGAGGGGTCTGGGTTCAATTCCTGGCAAGGATGGAAACATTTGGTGTGTTTCCTTACACCTGTTGTCTGCATTCACCCATCACTAAAATGGGTACCTGGGTGTTAGTTGACTGGTGTGGGTCACATCCTGGGACAAAACTGACCTAATTTGCCTGAAATGCTCTGCATAACAAGCGACTTTCTATATACGTGTAGTAATGTCACTGGTGTTAGCTAGGCCTGTATACCATGTACATGTACTTGTAGAAATAAAGATATACGCCCCCCACCCCCGATGTGACCCACACCAGTCGACTAATATCCAGGTACCTACTTAATGCTAGGAGAGCAGGGCAGCAGGTGTAAGGAAACATGCTCAACATGTCCTTGACCAGGGACCACCAGGTTTTGGAGCCAACCCTATCTGATGCTAGCTTTCTTCTTGTGTCCATCTCCCATTTAGCGATGGCCCACTTTTGAACGTCACCCATATGCTTACAGGCTCTTGCCTGTGCAAGTTCCTGTTATAGGTGGTAGGATGTCTCTTATATCTTCGCCATTCCTTGTACTTAGCAGTAGCAGCCTGTCTACAACGAAAGCCAAACCAAGGCTGATCTGTAGGCTTTGTCACATATTGCCGGTGAGGAATGTGTTCCTGTTGTAGATTAAGGATGTGTCCAGTGAAGGCTTTCACTTGGTTGTCAACATCCCCTTGGAGAAGAGCATTCCAATTGGTGGTGGCGAGCTCAGAGCAAAGGGCTGACCAGTTACCTCTTTCCCATAGCCAGGTTGTGCGTGTGGACTCCTCACCTCGTTCTGTTGGGATCTTAAGTGTCATAAAAACAGCCTTGTAAAGTAAAAGGACACAAGTGCAACTAATGTGACATTTATTGTGGCAACGTTTCGCTCTCCAGGAGCTTTATCAAGCCATTACTAATGGCTTGATAAAGCTCCTGGAGAGCGAAACGTTGCCACAATAAATGTCACATTAGTTGCGCTTGTGTCCTTTTACTTTACATATTGTCGGTAATTCTACCAACTTTATTACAAAAACAGCCTTGTGGTCAGATGATCCAATGTAGCTGAGGGGTTGACAAGTGACTATACCTTCTGCTAGATCGCTCACTACTGGGTCAAGGGAGGAGCCAGAGATGCGAGTAGGGAAATCAACAAAGTTTCTCATGTCAAATACTGCAAGAAGGTGAAAATAAGACACAAGTGCAACATCTGGGTATCTTGATTGTAGACGTTTCGCCAACCAGTGGCTTTATCAATACAAATTCCAGGACATAACTTGAAGACAGTAGAACTATGTACAGAAGATGAGGTAATCAGTCCCTCAACCTTGGAGTAGGTGCGAAGATTACTGTAGTCGTGGAGATTCTGAAGCAGAAGCAAAGCGCCTGACACTTATATACTAACGTCAGGTGGAAATGGGACGTGTAGCAGATGTGGGCTTAGTCACTGGTAGGCGGGATTCCCCAGTGGAAGTAGGTCCTACCCAAAGAGATGGGTTAGTTGTGGTAGTAATAGTACTTCCACTGGGGAATCCCGCCTACCAGTGACTAAGCCCTTGTCTGCTACATGTCCCATTTCCACCTGACGTTAGTATATAAGCATCAGGCGCTTTGCTTCTGCTTCAGAATCTCCTTGACTACGGTGCTCTTCGCACCTACTCCAAGGTTGAGGGACTGATTGCCTCATCTTCTGTACATAGTTCTACTATCTTCAAGTTATGTCCTGGAATTTGTATTGATAAAGCCACTGGATGGCAAAACATCTACAATAAAGATACCCAGATGTTGCACATGTGTCTTAATTTCATCTTGTCGGTATTATATACCATTCTTGTACCACTGCAAGAAGGTCATCAAAGTCCCTCTGAATAAGGTGTTGGTTGAGGTCACCAGCAATTATGACATGTTGACAGTTGTGTTGTAGCAGAAGGGAGTCCACATTTTCCATTAGGAAGATGATGGAGTCTGCATATTGCCACTGAGGTCTGTACATTGCACATGCTAGTACAGAGGTACTAGTGTTTATGCATAGCTTGAAGAACATCATTTCAAGATGAGTAGGGGTGGCAACATCAATGTGCTGGGCATGTACACTTTTAGAGAAGCACACAGCAACACCTCCTCCATGCCCTTGCCTGTCTCTTCTCATCCATGAGGTGTAGCCAGCAATTATTGCAAAATTTCTGGAGTCCTGTCGTCCAAAAGTGTTTCAACAACAGCTATCATGTCAGGACGTCGAGTGTT